TAAACATTAGATAGGAAATTCAGAAGACAAGGAATTAAAAATATTGCTAATGTTGGAAGATGTGATAATTTTATTGCAGTTTTATTTTTGAAGTCTTTTTTCCCCCTTTGGTATTTACAATGAAGTAATCAATGGGTGAGAAATAATACTGTGTAGGACTTATTTTAAAATACTTTCCTCCTCCCAAGGAATGAAGAAACAGATAAAGCAAGCATGGGGTGAGATACATTTACTTGAGATCTGGGTGCCAGGCCAAGGTGAAAAAAAAATCTAAATTTGTATGAAGCACTTTAAGTGAAGGTTGTAAAAGATACAACCCACAAATGCACAGAAACTGAATTTTTAAAATGTTACTCTCTTAACAGAATGAGATGCTTTGTATGTTAAAGCATCACACAGTGATGTGTGATTTTGTGAATAATGCATTTGTTTTGAAAATGTGAATTTTCATGGAGAGCATGTGATTAGAGCAAATTACTCTTGCTACTTTATTTCCAATAAAGTGAAAATGAGCGGAAATTACACAAACATTGATTATAGCATTTTCATTCTGTTCAGAAATACACTAATTCTGTCGGGACCTTGGATTCTGAGCCTCAGGGCACAGACATAAGTGTCACCTTTTCTAAATGTTGCTTTTTTGACTTTATTTCTCCTCACCTTGTTGCTGCTATATGCAGATGATCTTTATTTAAAAGGAAGGATAAAGTCACTAAACCCCACAGACAGTGTAGGTATGTAGAATTGGCTTCTTCTGTATGAAAAACTGGAGGAGACCGTTGTAAAGATAAGGGCAGTTCTGGATGACTACAGGGGATCTCCCTGTCTGCACGAGATACTGGTATAAAGCACTGGACCAGGGACAAGAGGCCAAGGTCCCAGTCAAAACTCTATTTCTATTATCTGTGTGGCTTGAGCCAATGACATCTCAGCACCTCAGTTGCCTCATCTAGAAAATGTGTATAATATGCACCCTACTTATAATACAGCATGAATGGTAATTAAGCATATATACGCTCACTGGCCAACCTGAAGATACTTAGAACTGAGTATCCTGTCTTAAAATGTTCCAGAAACAATTTAATTGCTTCTGGATACAGACTTAACTTTTACTTATCTCAATGTTAACTTACATAAATCTTTCTAACTTGTCTGACTTTTCCTATAAATGAAAGAAAAAATTTTCCCCCACTATGGATGCTAAAGTGACCTTTGGATGGGACAAAAACAGGAAAAGGACAGTTCATGAATGTTTGCTACCTATCTGTGCTATAGCACACCAGACACCACGCATTGGTATTTGCAATTATCTTACGTAATCCTGAAACAATACTTGGTAGGCAGTATAATCCATATTTTACAGGTATGGAAACTAAATCTCAGAGAAAACCCTGACCTGCTGTCATTAATAAACTCTACAGGTGGGGTTTTTGAATCCAAGTCTGTCTGATTCAAAAAAGTTCTGACTTTTTCTAACATTGACCTTTAGTAAATTTCATCGTTGTAAGGGAACCGTTAGAGTTAGGACTAGGGTTAAAGTCAATATTCCCAGTTTAAGCGAAGTCAATTGTTAAACCTTATAACATACATAGACCTTGAG